GTGGTGCAGTCATACACAACAGTCAGTTATCATTCAATACAAGACACTGATTGATGAACAAGTCCAAGAGGGACAGTCTGGTCAGGAGTGTCAAGCTGCTGCAGAGCTCTACATTTTGATTGATGGAAACCTGACTCTACCAACCTTACATTGGTCTCATGTTGGAACCTCACTTGCTGCAGGATGATCCAGACATGACCACTGCCCAGCGGGACAATGCACATTATCATGATGCTCATGGAAAGGCTTTCTTGTGAAATGAGTGTGGGACAGGTGTCCCACTGATGCTCTATTTGTCAGACTTGAGCCCAATTGAACATCTGTGGGAAAGGCTGTAGCCTGCATCAATGACTCAGAAACAAGTGAAGATATATATGCTTGTCCAGGCTGTATGAAAGAAACTTGACAAAAAAAATGACAGCATCATCTGCAAACCCGGAGCAAATCATGCATACCAACAATTTACAGAACTAGCCTGTGACTTTCACTATTGATCAACCTGTTGATGGCAAAGTAAAGTATCAGGACACTTCCTATAATAAGTTTTTGCCAACCAGCTTAGTGAGGTTGTTGCAGTTAGTTGGAGGTTTCTTTTGAAAACTCAAAAAATGCTAAAAGCACAGGCTACAACCAGGTTTGTATAAACATATGTTAGAAGCTTCCCCTTTCACTGATATAGAATTTATTCTGAATCAACAACATTAAGTCAACATGTTGCCCAATAAGAACTAGAGTGCAATTTGCTTTGTGTAAACTTCAAAATATAAGCACTTACGCCACATTTGACAAATCTTTCCATTATGTAAAAACAAATATGCATGTATTTTCTGATAATGCAGGAAGATCTTTAATCTAACCTTCGGTGTCTTCAATCATATATGTAGTCATAAAATGACTACAATCATGACTGTTAGTTTGAGTGTATGATCGTTCTAATTTATTCATGCATGTGGCTGTTGGATCCCTGAAGCAAATTCAGACAAGAAGAAGAAAAATGCAGCTGTATGGACCAGTGGAAGTCAATGTGTGCTAAATGTTGGAGTTGATTATGGTAGAATTGGCTAATTGTGCATACACCTGGGGAGAAACAGCTGTATCTTTCCTCGTCTCTAACAGAAAAATTGATTTCCTTAAATTAGCATCCATCTTACATCAGTATACATAAAAATTTCTACCCGATAATGAACATCAAGCTGTTGATTAGCATTGCAACATGAAGAACTCCCTGGAAGACTCTAAACAGAGTCTCTAAACTTCCATCTGTGAAAATGGGAGCAATTCTAGTTGCACAGCTGAAGAAGCTACAGAACCCAAGGAGGGCACTAGCAGATAGAGGAACTGCCAAGTCCTACATTCTCTAAGATATGAACCTTTAAAAAAAAAGCAAGCCGAATCTGCCAGAGAAAATGGTGGCACTGCTCCCAGGATGTACTGTATACCGAGTGGACAACACAGCAGCCTAACACCCCTTTACCAGATAAGATGTCTCCATTCAAACGTACCTGAAAGCACAATATCACTCTCACAGATTCTCAAGTTCAAGCACAAGTTACAACAACCGATATTCAAATCCCACCAAAAACAAAACAAGAAGTGATGTTATTGAGGACCAGGCTTATTTCTATTACATGTACAGTAAGGTCATGGAAATCTTAAACAAAACTAAATAAGAGGATTTTCTGTAGTATTACAGGACTCTAGGGAGTAGTAGGCATGGATTTAGAAAACAAAGGTCTTCCCTGATTACCTATCATTTCAAGAGATGTTTGAACAAGACACTCAATAATGGATACAAATTGAGTACAGTATATGATACAAATGGTCAAACTGCAGGCAGTAGGTGTTCAAGAAAATGTATTAGCATTAAAAGCTGGCTAGTGGATAGTAAAAATAAGGGGTTAACACTCCAGCTGATGTGAGGCCATTAGTCTACCATAGCATTCTGCATGAGATTATCGTATCATTAGCAAATGGGTGTAACAAAAGCCTACAGGTATATGAGATACCTCGGACTAGACCATTACTGTAATTTGTTCTAATTTGACTGCACTCCACTGATTTTTTACAAAGGTACACGGTACAAAAATTAAAACTTCATCGGAATGCCACCGCCCAATTAATTCCATTTAAATTCTAGCCCGCCAGCCCAGCCTCAGCGTTTTCTGCAATACTTTTATCCGAATTAACAAAGCAATTTTCACTTCTCCACCCAATGTGCTACTGTATGCAATGTGGCAGTCGGCGCAAATGTGCAACTCTGTGGGTGCTGCAGTGGTGGATGACGTGGGGCCCTTCCAAGGTGCTTTTGGATCCTTTGAGAGGAACACCAGAGAACTTGTATTGCATGTTACACCATTTATAAAACATTAGGAGACATTTCCCCACCCAGACACCTCTGGCTTCATTAGTGGTCAAACTTATGCCATTCCTAGAACTGTGAACAAAGACCCACCCTGTTACACAACAGAGTGGTGTTACAAAACGAAAATGCTTCCCAATGCAGGTGACATTTGACTACTTATTTGCTTACTCCTTTTTTAAATATCTAAACAAGAAAAAAAAAACACCACATCACCATTCAGCCAATACAAACACCCAGTAAAGGACGTTTCCAGTTTCTGGGTTGTGTGGATGCACAAGCCCAACTTCATTGAGTTGTTCAAATTGTGAAAGTCCTTGTACAACAGTCTTTTGAGAAGAACCTGTTCCTCTGAAAATTACCAGAAGGCTTAAAGAAGTTTAGGGTATTTGCTATATAAAACCAAAACACAGCAGTTGAGCACAGAGCGGTTGACTTTTTACTGCACTTGCTTCGAAAGTAGATTTTAGTGTAACTCAACTTCCACTCTCATTTTACAGATGAATCAATCCATATACTGTAAAGCACATCTTTAGCTTGTGAAATAACAAAACAATAAATTTGGTATTCATTATATTTTTTACTTCAATTTTAATTATGATAAAAAACGTAAAAGGATTTTCAATTTTAAAATTAAATTAATATTTAGTTAATACCCTAAGTGTACGCTACAAGTACAGGGAACACAATTTTGGACAGACAAATCTTCATAAAATGCCAGATTTTTCAGATAAATATTCATGCCACCATGAACATTTGATAGCTAAACGGCTGTACTGTTCTTGTAATTTAAAATTGTCCTAACCGAGGAGTAACTACTGACATTGCGAGATCAATTCAGCATCTACATTTTTAAAATGCAATTTATTTTCGAATGACACATCTACAGCCTTTTTCCATTTAGCAAATACTGGAGCAGATTATATAAAGTGTAAAACAACACCGCACAATCCCTACCGACAGTCAGCTCCGAGGTCATCTCCAAAAGTAACGCAGGTAGCGTTAGTAAAACTGTGAATTTTTAAAAAAATACACTACTGATATGCATTGTAAGGAATATTGATTCACCTGCCTTTCAAGCCCCTCATCTGGGGTTAAAATCCACACAAGACGTGAGTAGATCCTTGACGTTCAGTTAGCCGTAGTGACATCCACACAGAATTGTGACAAATGTTCACTTATATACTGTAGGAGGAGAGGTCTGTGTGCACAGCGGAACCTGTCTGATCACTGGCTGTGGGTGGCTTGGGAATGTGGTGTCAGATGTAACGAGCACAGCAGCCAAGAAAGCATTTTGGAGAGCATTTCCAGCCATTTCCTCTATGAGATGACAACTTTGATGTAGAACGAAATGTTTCTTTTGTCTTACCGGAGTGTTTACCAGTCCAAAGGCACCTACCTCGGAGTCACTGTCCTCCTCCGATGTAAACATGACACATATTTCCGTTGGGAAGTTCTGCATTGTTACAATGGTCAGTACCAATGGTCAAATTGGTTAATTTGCTTATACTGCTACCTAGTGGGCTGTTGTGCAAGCAATACCATTCGTGAAAAGCAACGTCTCCTACCGAAATCCAAACACCTTTACGAAAAATGTACCCCATTGTAGCTCTGGGGTCAATTTGCTTAACACGTAGAACTTACCTGAGCTTTGGAAACACTGTTACACAAATTATACAGTCGCTTAATGGCAGAGCGTTGTTGCAGTGGACATTAATGAAGCTTTGGCTATTACCGTCTTGCAGGGTGCCGGGTGTTTTTGCCGTCGGAACCAAACGTTTGACGTCAGAAATGCCCGAGTCCAAGTCCTCTTGTTCGTCCAGGTAGCTCGTCCTGTCCTCGTTGCTGTCAGATTTCACCCCGAAACAGCGTTGTATGAACCCGGGGGGATTTGATCGCCAACAACCACAATTAGAAAGACTCATAACTATTGTGTCTCTTAGGTTTCGGATGCCAACAAATATATTTACGACTAACGAAGGAAATTATCTTTTTTTCAGAGATAGTTCGTCAATCGGAAACACAGGAAAATTAGTTTTCATGTGTTGGTTTTGTCATGACTTCATATGCAGATGTATTATTTACAACGCACACGCTACCAAAAGTCGTTGACATGAATCCGGGAGCAGTTCATAGCAACTTCGTTTTTACCCTCTACGTACCCCTCCAACTGGTTTGCAACTGATTGACTTGAAGAAGTACACGTGAGACCCAAATCACATTTTAAAAACAGGTCGATAACGCCCACATACCTCAATTCTGAAAAGTACTTGCGTTCATGTGTTTTTTTTCTGATTCTTGAAGCAAAATTGTATTAGTTGTATGACTTCTCTTGGGAGACAGAACAGGCGTTGGACATACAGTACACATAAACCTATAATTAGCTGATTGGTAACAAGGTCACGCCAGTAGAGCTGTCTCAGTAAGGCAACGAAAGTCGATTCCTTATCCTCGTCACCCAGGCTCTGTCTTGAGCTGTTACGAATTCAAGAGTAATTTGAACGACAATGCACCTCAATGACAAAGACATGATCAGATCTGCAAAATGTAACGAGATCGGCTTTTACCTCATTAAAAATCCTATCGCCCGCCTTGCTTAGTCCCCTATTAAGTGTATTTTCAGGTTTCAGCAGAGCAGGACTGTGACTTGTTTTTGGAAACACAGAACACAGCTTCAGGGGACTGCGGGACAATAAGGGGCGTTGTGCTCTTGCAGTAGTGAGAAGACAGTGAAGAGGTACAGTATCTTAGTTTACTCCTTTGGCATTTTCACACCGTGATTAATTTCTTTGGAATCACACGGTTTCTTTAATCATTGTGCAGTTCCATTCCGCTTTAACTTCTAAATCCGATTTCGTTTTAATTTGTTCCATTTTAAATTCATTGAGTATCTTTTGAATTGATCACTCAAACCTATCGTATTTTAGGTCTACTTTAACTTGATGTAAAAAAAAATCTCAAATAATTAAAAACAGGGACAGAAAATGAGCAGAGAAGCAGAAAAAATGTCTAGTCCTGCAAGATTAACTGCTGGTCTCACTTGTTTGACTTATTTTTGACAAAGCCATTATACAGTATACAACTAGGTCAATTAAAAATTTGGTAGTAAAACAATTAAAACGGTACATCTTTACATATCCTCTTTAGACAGAGGATGCAGATATGTGTGATTTTATGGACTTCAAATTAATTTAGCCGTCATTGAATATAAAACGGCCGAAATCATGAACAGTAGTCCTTCCCTCCTGTTAAACCTTACATAGAGATTGTGCATCCTCCATTTAAGTAAACACTTCCTTTCATCAACAGTGGTGATAAAAAATGATCATTTATTAAAGAATAAATGAAAAGATGGCTTTTAATGTATGTTATATACATCTGTGCTATACAAATAAAGGTGGGGATTTCCTCATGTTTTGCTCCATTTGTAAGGACAGGTTCACAGAATACCCTTCCCCCCCAATCTATTCCATTGGGAACACAGGTACAATTTAACATGAGATTCATCTCAGCTTCTTAAATACAGGACTGGACTTGTACAACACATAGGAGATTTATCAAGGGTTTGGCGCCAAAGTGTAAGAACACCATTTTATTCGAGTAAAAGCAGCTCAAGACATCAACTTTTACCGCCATGAAAAAGTGAAATTAGGTGAACCTCCGGGTTTCAAATCTAAGCCTTCATCGCACTCAGCATTTGCGTTGTAAAATTGAACAGTCGGATTATTTTTCAGAAATGATGGTGCACTTTGGTGTAAACGGTTTGACAAATCTAGCCTGCACATTTCAGGAGAAAGCAATCATTTGTAACAATGCTAATTCAGACATGCAGGACATAGGTCACACTTTAATGACTACACTCAGGAAAAGAAATAAATACCAAATAAAATGTTACACGTCAAAAGGGGAACACATTTTTCAACATCAGCCTTCTCCCGAAGAGAACTTCCTCATTAAGAATACACTGCAGCATCCCATATCATTGATAAAGTCTACTCAGACCTCTGGAACTGAAGATGAGCTGTTCCATATTCCTAATCTCAGAGGAACAGGTGATTCTAACATGATTCTACAAATCCGAGCACAAGAAGGACAGGAGTGGTTTTGTATGCAGTAACAATGTCAGAAATGTTAACTTTGCCATAGCTAATACATTAATGTACTTAAATCCTGCAGATCAATTTGTCAAGCAGGTCTTTTAAGGGAGTGCTCAGACTCTGAAGGCCTACTCAAGCACAGCTGTGCTCTTCAAAAGCAGGGGAAATCGATATTGAATAGATGAAGTTCTGAATGCTGAAATCTTTGTACATTTAAACTTTATCCATCATATGGCTGATGCCACAGTGGCTAAATCTAACTGCATGTTCTTACAAAGATTCCGTGACCACCTCGCTCTTTCACAGACAAAAATTAAGAAAAGGAACATTAAAACATTAAATGCAGAATGAAAGGATGATACATATTTAAAAGTGCAAAATCGTTTTTTTTTTTAAACAGAAAGGGTCAATTTACATGAATCATAGAAAGACAACAATGGAGCAAACAAAAAGAAATCTAGAAAAAATAATGAATATCATTTTGTGCTCAACATCTATACAGGAGCAAAAGCTAAACCACAAAAACAAAATGCATTGTGACCTTGTGCTACTAAAATTATACATTGTTTTAACCACTCTATTTTCTGGAGCATTTTTGTTTGGCAATGACATGGAAGGCTTTTGATAAGGTGGAAAAAGGTCCATGTAGCCCTATTGAAAACCGGTAGAAAACTCTGAAGATAGTATTTTACATGTTGGGATTACGTCTCCCCCTAGTGGTCCCCAGGGAGACGCGCAGCCGGGGTTCCCTGGCTTTGTAATGCTCATTGAAATCCAAGCGGAAGCTAAGAAACTGGAGGCTTTCGTCCGAACTTGTCATGAGCAACACCAAAAACTGCTGGACGATACCCTGAAAGACAAATTCATTTGTCAGCCTCAACTGGAACCAAACAATGCAAATATTAAACTTTGGCATGGGATCAAAACAAGCTGAGAGAATTCAAGGTCAAAACCTAAAAACATCATTTAATATTAAACAATGTTCCAAATCAGAATATTTTGGAGAAAAGGAAAATGTGAGAAAAAAAAACCTAAATGCCTTTCTAACTGATTTCAAAGCTGCAACTTCTTTTTGTTATCATGTTGACCAAAAATGTACACAATATTCTAAGTTTTTCCAATGTAATATATGATTACAATATGACTCCTGTTACAATTTAAAGTAGCATGCTTTGGTCAAATATGTTGTTTGCCTTTTTCAGTGCTTTCCCACTTGATCTGGAACAACACTCTGCAGCTCCCACCCTGGAGAGCTCCAATCCTGCAGATTTTGTAACCATGAAATCACTAACATCTAATGACCAGAACAATCCAACAACAATCTATTAGACAAGAAATTAAGTAGGTTTAGAGATTATCTGGAAAAAGATCAAGATATACCAGAAATTTCTTAACTGAACAGATAACTGGTTTAATTGCTCAATAACGTCTAAGTAATGTGTTGCTAATCTTTAAAAAAGTAAGACATTTAAGAGGAGTAAGACTAATAGAGTGGAAAATTAAAATAACGTGCTGACAACCAAGACACCCATAGTCTTTTCATAGTTAAGCAAGACCTGCCCTTTCTAAACCCACGCTGACTATCCTCTAGAATCCTAGAGCAATTTAGTTTTAGTGCTAACTTTGTGTGTCAGAAAATGGTTCTGTTTTGCCACCATTGTAACAGATGTACATTAGCCATTTTCAATGAGTTTCTAATTCTTCTTGAGTAGTGGTTGGCAGGGTTTTCATTTCCTTAATTACAGATGACAGAAAACCTTCAGACCATGAAGAGTACTTCAGCGTAAGTGTTTTTATAAACTGTAACACTTCTGCCTTTTGTATGCTAATACAACTTAATACTGTACTTTGTTTTTGCTCATCCTAAGCATGTTCTTAACTCATTCCACATGAATTGAATATGAATGTATCACCTATACCCCTTTCTTGTCTAGATGTTCCCCATTATCTCCACTTTACTTCATCATTTACTCCCCTCCTGTGGTAACACTGAAAACAATTTCCTAATTTACATTTAAATTGTATTATTTTTAAGCCCAGACTCTACGTGTTATTCAAGACAATATTACCTTTCCAAACTCTAGCATTATTTAATCTTATCATCACCCTTTCCATAATATTTTCTGTTTTCCTATTTTATAGCTCAGTTTTGTGTAGCCAAATCCAACCTGCCACTGCTTTATCTATTAAACAGGACAAGACACATCATCTCTGCTCTTTTGAAACCAGCTCACAGAGGTGCTAAACGCCAACGTGTGGGACAACAACCCATCCTCATCTGACATCTCGACTAGCCATTTCTACAGTATCCACCCCTAAAGACATCTCAGTGCTAAGATTTGCACTGGATGGGAAAGATTCCATTTCAACCTGTGTGTTTCAGGCTGCTGGGCTTAATATGAGCTCCTTATGAAGGCCTATAATTAATAAGCCACTTGGTTTCCTCCAGTAGTTGTGAGGTTATATTAAAAATGTATAGACGGGGACAGGTCATGCAGTGTGGCGACGTACCTGGTAGAAATGTGTCAGTATCCGTAACTGGGAACGCGTTTTTGGTATGGTTTCTCGATATGCCTGAATTCGTCGGTTCTCTTCTTCTTCTTGTGCTGCTGTCACTCCCCACTCACCCTGCAATACAAGCTTCAGTCAGCAAGTGGTACAACGCTGCAAAAAAACCAACCAAACTCCATATACATAAATCACAGCACTATTAAATTCATTTTCTGTATTGTTGCAGTTTGTCCAACGGAAGGGCTGTAAAGACCACCGACCTGCCACTAGAGTCCGCCAAAATATGACCTAACAAAATGTGGTAAATGGCTGTAAAGACCTTGCCACTAGAGTCCGCCAAAATATGACCTAAAAAAATGTGTAAAATATCTCTGTGTAAAACTCTCTCCTGTATTCACCAATTAGTTCACTGAGTAATGGAAAGGTGTGTATTCTTCGTATGGGTTCATTTAGTATAAAAGACTCTCACAGTGACAGTAATACGAATAATTATTTATCAAGAAGCACAGCTATTTTAAGAAGTTCAGGCGGGTAGCTGCGTCAGGATGCGTAGGCTGCAAAGGAACAAGTGATAGGTTTATTCCACGCTTCTTCAGGTGTGAGCACACACACACCTCACACCTGAAGAGGGCTCCATGGCTGAAACGTTGTGTTTTCTTTCTTCTTTTTTTCAGCATGGAATAAACCTATTACTATTTTAAGAAGCCATTTTTGTTATAAGGTTGTGATAAAACCTCAAAGCTAGGATACCTCCTGGACCTTAAAAAAAGCTGTGTGTAGAATAGTGTGCAGAAGTCCATTACTAAAGTTTCTCTTTGATTCCCCTCCACAAAGAAATCCCACCATTGAATGAAGTCATGTAGTTAATAGCCTGATTCCTGGTGAAGTCAGGTTCCTTATATTGACTATAAATCATGAATAATACAACTGTTCCGGAGTTTCCACAAGACTGGGTAAGGACACCAACAACCTTACTAAACAGAGTACTCAAAAGGGGCAAACGGAGGAGTATAAACAGGACAGTTCTGCTCAAAATGGCTCAGCTAATCCACGGTTTACACCTTTGTGGAGTTTGGACTGTACCTCCTTCTCTCTCTCTCTTTTCTTCTCCTCAAACTGCAGTCTGAGTTCCAGCTCCTCCAGGGCTGCTCTGTACAGGGTTTCCTGGGCATTCTGGAACTCGATGATCTGATCAAAGATGGCTCGGAGCTGGTTCAGGAGAGCCTGAAGGGACAGAGGACGCTTTTTGTGTTATTGTTAAGTTACACAGTAGTGAACAGGAGGTCTTACAATCACACAGTTAAAACTGAATTCACATTTATTAATGGGAACATCAAGGTTTTTTATACAAGGAGTCATTCTACTTAATATAAATAGAAATATGCAGGGATGACAGCGTGGATAACACAAGAAGTCCTGAAAGAACACATCTTTAGATGCTTCTTTCAGGACTAGAAGTAGCTCTCAAATAATCCATTAGTATTTTGTATATTCCATATTCTGTTCTTTGTGTTTAACAAGAAGTAAGAAATACCTCAATTCTACATCGTCTACATTTGTAAAATGCAATCTAGATCTGATTCACAAAGACATCGGAACAAGTGTAAAAATAATGATTCAATAACAGGACAGTGTGAATGCCCACCCTGGAGTTGGTATCCAGCAGACAGCGTGATATGATGGTGTCAAGGAACACTTCGTGAGCAGCAATAATGTGGTCTAAATCTTGGGCCTGCTGGACTCTGTTCCAGAGCTCATCCCAAGAGCATTCCAGCACCTGCAAGAACAGAACAGACTTTATTCATCACATCTCTGAAACGGTAGTCCTCCTTCCACTAACATCACAGGTCCAAAGCACTTCTTGTCAATGGCTTAAAGCCAGCACACCATACACTAAAATCACTTACCGTACACTTAATTTCTTAATTTAAGAACATGACATTACCCAATTATTCAATCAAGTGAAATAGGATTAAGCATGCAGGACTTTATTACTTTGTACTTGAGTATAATGTTAATATAATATATTAATATTTTATATTCTCATTCATATATATATATATTCATTATATCAATGTAATATGATATGGATAAACTGTCCATGCAATTCTAAGATTGATTCTTTATTGTTTGGTTTAACATCTAAAATGAAAGACAAGTCTTCTGACATGTTGTTTCTGATTCTGACTCAGTTTTAAAGTTCTGGACAAACAGACAAGTTACAACTGAATTACTGACCAGAGCTTATTAGACCTGATGGTATCATATTACATATAAATGTAGTTCCACAGAACTGAATTCCTAGCACTTTCCATGTCACAGCTGTTCAACTTGTCAAAATTTAAAACTAAAGGTCACATTTTATTTACTTTTTTCATAATTCATGAATGCAGGATCTTAATATGGGCAGTAGATAGCAGTGCCTAATACTGTTATTTAAAGAATGCCGAATTTCTGTCTTTGCAAAGACACTCAGGGGTACAATTTGGAGATTTCTACTGGGTCACAAAAAATGCAGTCACATTCACTAACCTTCAAAATGATCCCCTTTGAGCTCTTTGAACTTTTAAATAAAAAAAATCACTATAATACAGCATAAAAACAAAGCAACAAAACCCATGAAAATTCTCAGACACAAATAACCACAGAGACATTATAAATCTGAAAGCCTACCTCAAATGTAATGTAATATTGCATCTGATGAATAAAGTGGACCATTTCTGAGGCCAGAATATGACATTGATGTAATACACCAGAGAGCTCTGTAATAAACACAGAAATTGTAAAAGAGGAGAAGTTATATATATATATTCGTATGAGTTTAACATGCAGAGGTTACATAGTTATATTGTCACAGTCAGGTGCCTCAGCCAGTCGTGGCTGGCATCATCCAAATCGATAAAGTTGCCGGGGCATCTGAAGCGAGGGCAGGAGTATAGGACGTGGTCAGCTGTCTGCTCCTTGCCATCGTCTGATTCGCAAGTTGGGTCATCAGTGAGACCCCACTTGTGTAGGGTGGCCCAGAAACGGCCATGTCCGGTTCTTAGTCGGTTCAGCTTGACCCAGGCTTGTCTGGGTAGGTCATTTCCAGCAGGTTTGTTGGATACTTTGTCAATACATTGTTTCAGTCTGTGGTTATTATTCCACACGTCTTGCCACTTTTTGTTAGAGGAGAAGTTGACAACTATCAATAACTAGAAGGTAGCCATCTTTATAAAAATTAAAAATTAGAGGAATGAAAAGACCAAAATGGTGGTATAACATCCATCCATAATCAGAAAAACTGTGTATTTCTGTTGTGGATTGCAACTAACCAGTGCCTACTGTATATCTGAAGCACAGGACATGACAGAAGCCGATACTACACTCTGCATGGGACACCAGGCTACCGCAATACACACAGGGTCAATTTATAGACACCGGTTAACCTAGGCAGCATCTGTTCACCTATAATAAAGGCTCCATGACCACACAATCAAAATGTATCTCTCTTCCAAAGAGGTACCCAGCCATTGTCTAGAGCAAAAGAAACATGTACAGGCTTTTCAACACTTAATAAAGACATCTGTGACTTCAAGACCCATGGCTGCCCTCTTTCAAGCCATTTCTCTCTACAAGCAACAGGGGACAAGAAACAACAAACCCCACTGGAGTGAGATAATTAAAACACTTAGAAGCATTGGGCTTTCACCTTGCAAATGACTAAAATGAATTTCTGTGCATTACTTTTTTAATATCTTTGTAAAACATACATCATAAAAACGTATCTCTTGTAAAATATAGTTATGTAGTATATAATTGTAGTACCTTGCGTCAATGATACACATTTATTCATATGTATTTAACAACAGTAGGAGTTACATTTAACTGAGTGCTGCAAATGTCAATTTTAGGAAGAAAAGAAACTTGGCAGGAAAGCTATAAACATTAGTTCTTTGATTGCTTACAAATCCTGAAAAACTGGAAAATAATGAGACCAGATATTCATCAAAACTCATAGGAATATTTCATCAATATCTATCAGTACCAAAAATCTGGAAAAAAACTTATACTAAAAGCAGAATCATGAAGAAGCTGTGAGTCAAGCTGTTTACTAACGACTATTTTCAATGTAAATGAAAAGTATGCCTTTTAGAAATGTGTCACAGTGTCTTTAGAATGTCACTTAAGTTCCTAGATTTAATTAAATAATAACTCAAATGGTTAAAAACATTGCACTTACATTTTTGATTCTTAATACAATTCTATCAGGATAGTAGAAAATAGTGACTAAGCAGAACTGAAATGCACACTTGTCAAACCATGTACAGTACAATACACCAGTTTAATCGACCTCTTCAGTCTATCACAGTGCAGAGGAGTAAAACTGCAAATAATTTAGTAGAGACGTAGTATTTCCCTTGGTTCTTAGAAAGGAGCACCAAGTTAAAATAAGGGACTTTGATAAAAGGACTGCACAAGTCTTAAAGAGTGTTAAATGTGTATTTTTTCCCCCCTTTTCTCTGCAGATGCCCACTGCTGGAACAATATATATATATATTTTAACCTGCACTGCAATGCACAGGTTCTGGTGTGCTTGTATTATATTGTATATAACTGCTCACCTGGCATGCCCTTGAGTAGCTTGGCATTGCACATTTGGCCTTTCCAGATGTCGGTGAGAATGTATTCCATGCGCTTGGCTCTCCAGAGGAAGTTAAACACCCTGAGGTAGTGGCTCATACATTCCCGAGTGAACACCTGCATTCACGGTAAACAGCAAGGCCCATCACACAGTAAGAATACAGCTCTACATTGTGCGCACCAGACTGCAGAACTACCACACAGAGTGGCAGGAACTGCAAGACATGTCACTGCAGAATGAAGCAGGGAGGCTTAATGTATAAAAGACCAACATGAATACCAGGAATTAATGGGGAAACAGGTTAAGGACACTTTCCGTCACAAATAATAATGTTAACATATGGAACAAATTAGTAAACCATGTTAATATGAATTTATGTGCCTGACATTTTGTTCCAAAGTGATGTCCTTTTGTAACCATTTACACATCCGGGCATTTTATAGGAGCAATCCAAGCAACACCAAGAATTTGAGCCCACAACTATCTTGTAACAATCGGTTAAAGCTTCACATTACTTTCCATCGTTGGCACAAATAGTTCATTACATTGATTAAACTTCTTTGATAAAAAGCTGGTTAAGATCCTTGAACAAATAAGCAGCTTACTTTACCCTCACCATGTGCGTTGTAAAACGACAGTCAATATTTACCACTAGGGGCCATGGTGTATCTGAGACACCAAATAAAGAATCTGCCATTTCTTGTGCTTTGCAGATCGAGATGTATACTGAGATGTATATAACTAAACATCCTGTTTAATCCATTCTAGCTCAATCTCAAAACAATACTAATCATTACCAATACTATATAACTTTGTTATGGATCAGGTCATAACCGAAGCAAGATTTCAGGTTTAGGAGAAATGGCTCTCTTGGAGCCTGCTTAACACTGTCAGTTTTACTTCATTTATGAACATTTAATTTAACAAACATAAAGTACACATTAAATGCAAGAAATTCAAATCCCTCTACAAACTGTGGGACTTACATTTCCTGTAGAGCTCAAATAAATGTTATGATTCCATACAATTGTTTATACTCAAGACACCTTTTAATAATTTTTATATATCTATTTGATTTGGGGTAAATGTATGTATACCAGTTAGCTTTTCCATGCTACACTGAATATGCCAGATGTTTGCGAGCTACTGTAAATACATTTTATACATGTGTATTCAACCTGCCTATTGACTGAGTACTTGAAACTGCCGATGACATTTGAGAATTACATAGAAAATTACAGGAGTTGGACAGATTTGCACATATACAATATTATGACAGTTCTCAGAATAAACAATTTGATTATGCTTGTTAACAGTTGTCTTGGATTTTAATGAAATTTGCGTCACTTTCAATAAAATGCAAACAGCAAACATTCAACAGAAGATTTTAGACGAAACAGGATGATTGTCACATTTACTTTATGCAGTACGTTGACATCATACACATGTAATCTGTCTGGCTCGTGAATAGATAATATTAAAAGGTTCAAGTTTGCTGAATAATCCAATAGCACTCCAGGTTATTTAAAGGATGCGATCGAATAATGTGATTTGTTAAAACTACATGTGCATATTTTTACAGAGCTACTTAACCCAAGAACCTTTTAATCCTTATCAATTATTAACTCATAAAAGACTTGGGGCAATACATTTGTTTAATACTGCAGTGATTCAAGGCTGAAGCTCTCCACTTCTCTGTGCATTAATAAAAGTGAAAAGGGAGCATGAATCAACTTCAATGAACATACCGTTGCAATGGGCCCATCAACGTGGTAATCCAGACTGAATACATCCCAACCGGTGTCACCAGGTGATACCTTAAACAGAGCAGATGCAGAATAAATACTTTGAAGAAAAGTTCAGGTTTTAAATTTGGACGGTCAACACTACATTCTTACATGACAATTTGCTCCTTCTCAGTTGAGTCCTAAATAAAGAAGATTTTTCAAGCCTACACATTTCATGACTTTTTTCCCCCCCAAAAAGAAAATATTGGATATTTTTTATACCCGATGGTACATCAGAAGTCACACTATACCATTCTTCTCTCACTACAGAAGCCAACAACAAGCTTTTTCTATTAGCCCAAGCAGCTTTGAGATCAAAAAATAAAAAAGCATTGTTCTTGTCACTGTGAAGCAGCTAGTGGCGGAGATGTACCGAAGACACAGAAAATGCAATCAGGACCATCTACATCTACATTCAAAAAAAAAAGGGGACTTATCACGGAGGCGGCGGACTCTTACTTCAAGGAGTCTGACATCAAGCCGTTTCAGGATCTCGGGGCTGTCAAACTGTGCATTGGTAGCCCTGACTGCGGTCTCGAGGATGCCCGTGAGATTGTGCTGATACAAGGTGGTGGCTGGTCTAGCCAGTTCTGGCCTGAAAGGGAACATATACACTAACTATAAAATTCCATATTTTTTTTCCCCTTTTGAGAGTCTAAAAGATAAAATAAAGTCGTTTGTGTTTCTGCCCCCCCCAAAAGGCTAAACCAATGGAACCGAATAGGACTCTTTACATTTTAAGCAAAGACTAAAAAAAAGGAAATGTTACAACTGGCTAAACAGCAAATGATTTCAACAGACATTAATTTCCACAGCCACTTCATCTTTACAGTCAAACAGATCTGTACAAATTCCATAGCTATCATCCTATTAAATTCTAAAAAAAAAAAAAAATAACAAGACTTTTTAAATCTTAAGATTAAAAGTGTGGCTAGGGGGAGTATTAACCCTTTAAAGAACTCAATTTTCCACTAGCGTGAAGCTGTTCTGTCTCAAGGGACACAATTCTTAAAGTGTGGGAATGCATGCTCCTTTGCGATTTAACAATATAAACACCACTATTAAAACAATTTCTTAGAAAAGACATTAGCAAAAGTGGTGTAAGCCTGGTAGAAATGGCGTATAAGCTACCAATTAGTCTTCAGTACTGATTTAGTGGTTGCAATTTTGGCTCCCAGTGGGGTGATGTAAAGGTCTCCGGTGTCAGATGCACTGGCTGGTTTATCATGAAGCCAATTTCACACAATACTTTGAGAATGTGATGATTAAACAATACATACTGGTAGTCATGGTGTTTTTCATGGAGAGTAAAATATAGATAGCACTATTAAAATCACAATTGTGCCGCTTTGACCTCGAGGATAATGGTGACGATCCATCTAAAACAAAACTGCAATAAAGAGGCACTTGTTTTCATATCCAAAAGTAATGATATCAGAAGAATTTACATCATTTACTCGACAAACCTTTTTCTTACTAAACAATATAGCCAATACAGAGCAAAACATGAAGAAGAACCCCATTTTTTTATTTTTGAACCAGAAAAAGAACCCTAAACACAAAATAAAAAAACAAAATATGTGGGTATGCGCTCCTGAGTGAAGTGCACACATGCAAAGAGTACCAACAGTACAAGAACAGTTAACATCAGCGTGTTTTCAGTGTAGCAGTCCCAGAGGGCTCACTCACTTCAGCAGGTCCATTAAGTGACGTATGAAGTCTCCTTGGCCCAGCAGTAAATACCGTCTCATGGCCTGCATGTGTTCCAGCAGGAGGTAATTCTTGTTGAGGACATCCAGAAGATATTTGCTGGTCTCAAAATAGGCTGCATCAATCTTTCCTTGGAAGGCTCCTTCCAAGTCAGTGAACAACTCAGCAGCTGAAACAAGTGACCGTGGAGCCATTAAAAATGCACTACAATGCTATTTGTGCAAGGACAATCATAATTAAACAGTAAAAGCCACTTTCCTCTGCGCCACATTGATTGGTGGCAAAGACAGCAGCTAAATATAATGCTGCCAATATCTTGCTTTTGAAAACCGATGGAAAAGATCCAAGCACTGTTCTACTCAGAAATAAAACAAAAGAATCGATTCATTTGAATTTCTTAAGCCTGCTGCTTACAAGCTGATCTTGGTCAGAATGAGTTACAGCAGTGTGTATGGCATTTCAACTGCAATTGTACCCAATTATCCCAATTTCAGTGTAAAAGCTGTGATGAGTCATGGGTGGATTTGAGCTCTCTCTCTATGTGTGGCAGGTGTCAATTTCACGAACCTGAGCGACTTAGGTGTTTCAAAATATGTTGGATTTTTCTGCAGCTATACAAAACATTTATAAAAAAACTATGAACAAAAGTGTAAATGTTGTGCAATAAAATTATGCTTTTGATATACTGAGATTAGGATGATTCAGTACATTGCATTAAAACCACAATAATGTTTAATGCTAAGATTTATTCATCATGACTCATGGCATAGAATGATTATGTTGTTTTCTCATAAAACACATATTATATGCCTTTGTATAAACAGTGGCAGGATTGCTACCTCTATGGAAACACAAGATAAAATAATGAATTTTTAAAAATACAGTATATTATGGAAGACTGAATATCCACGGACAAACTAATGGCTCAATTAAAAAATATTCAGCAGAGGTTCAAGGAGAAATCGATTGCTATGCTCTTTTTATAAAGCCATAATGAATTACAATTTCAGTAACTAGCATGTTCCTCATACAGTATGTCGTTTATTGCTTATTGCTTGATGAGTGCAACTCTCTCTGCTCCTGCTGGGATTCAATGTCAGTCGCTTGTGGGCTCCGAGCCTGCACACCACCACTTCGAAAGACGGACACTGTCTAAATTTCAGAGGGGTCGACATCACTCGTTATCCTATCAGTGCATTAATATCTGTTATATAATTTACAAGAAGATACAGTATAATTAATTAATAGAATTTAATCAAAAGGTCATCTTTCTATTAGTACATCTGGTAATATCTGTCCTCAAATTTTAAATCATACAATTTAATTTTTCAATAAACACCACATTTCTAATCTTCATCTCAAAAGAGCCTTGTTAAATGTTGAAAATTACCTTCAACATGAAAGCCAGATCACTCTGCAACTCACTACTGGCAACCAACTGAAGCTCAGCAGGTGTGAGCCTTGCCAATACCTGGATGGGAGACCTCCTGGGAAAAAGTAACAGCTGTTCCAGCAGCATCCTTAGTGGGGCCAGCAGGAGGCGCTCACCATGTGGTCTGTGTGGGTCCTAATGCCCCAGTATAGGGACAGGGACACTAAACTGTACAGTGGTGCCGTCCTTCGGATGAGACGTAAAACCGAGGTCCAGACTCTCTTTGATCATTAAAAATCCCAGGGCATTTCTCAAAAAGAGTAGGGGTGTTACTGTGGTGTCCTGGCCAAATTTCCCATTTGTCTACCAATCGTGGCCTCCTAATAATCCCCATCTATGATTTTACTTCATCACTCTGTTCTCCTCCCCACTGAGAGCTGGTGTGTGATAAGAATACTGGCTCTATGGCTGCTGTTACATTATCCAGGGGGATGCTGCACATTGGTGGAGGTGGAGGGGAGACCCCATTACCTGTAAAGTACTTTGAGTGGAGTGTTATACAAGTGTAAGAAATTTTGATTTTTCTTAACAAGTGGATGTGAACAATTGCTAGGTCTGGCTATTTCACTTTGGAGACTGCTTTGGAATCCTAATATTTAACACTAAAATCAAAATAGTCTGCCTCTTAGGATCCTGAGCAAAAAAGCTCTCTCAGGCCATGAACTGAGCATGGCTTATTGACAGCAGCATTATTACCTTATTACCCCAACTCATCAGACCTCAGAAGCTAAGCAAAAGATAGCCTGTGTATAACGGGCACAGTAGACCTTCCGAACAATCAGGTCTCTGCTGTAAGTGGTTTCAGTGGACCAACTGGGGTATTCCACTCCGGATAAAAAACCATTGTCCAGAATTAGAAAAGGAAACACAATGGAGGACACCCTTACAGCCCTTTCTAAACTCATGTTTGCAGTAAAAGGAAACAGAGCTCACCATCTTTGGGAGAATCAGCAGATTTTGCTGCTGGCGTTATTTTCCCAGGAGTAGTCCGGTCATGGCAAACTTGGTGCAAGAAGTTAATTGATTTTCCCGTAAGGAGGACCTGCAATAAAAATGAGATGGTGAACGTTTATTACAGTTACTAGATATTTTCAGATCTGAGGGAGTATGCCCACTTTAAAAAAAAAAACAGAAATAGCATGACTTAGCTATATTGAGGTTACATGTTAAGGTCGTGCTTTCAGAGTACACAAAATGCTATTCTGGGGTGATCAACCTCCATTCTGGAGGACACAGTGCAGCAGATCTACTAGTTAACTCTTAAAACACCAGTTTATAAAGATTCCAAACAAATAAGGTTTGATCAATGTAGCGTGTTAGTTCAATTAATATAGTAGCTAACTGTGGTAACTGAGAGATGGAGGGTGTTGGTACTTCCATTTCAATTGATTTCCAAACTATTTCACTGAATAATCAACTTACTTAATCAAGATTAAATTACTCTAAGGGTTTAATAATTTAAAGGTGAAATGTTGGGAACTCTGTGCTATACAAAGACATAAAGACCATATCTCATAAGAGCCACAGTGTTCCGTAGTTCTTTAAAAGGAAAAGTAAAATATTTGAATCAGGTTTATCATAAGAAATTGGGCTGGAATTTTTCAGCAAAAAGAATCAGTTTAAGAAATGTGTATCTTTTTTTTCAAATGAAAAGATTTGAAGTTCTGTACCTTTCGAGCTTGATCCATCGTTATAAAAGAGGGGATCATGGATTTTCTTAGTGTGTACTTATCATGCCACAGTCGGTCAGTCTTCACTGTTGGGTCTGAGGCTACAAAGAACTGTAATGAAATCCATTCACAAATTCAGTAGATGGACAGTAGTTGATTCTAATAACCAGAAGCTGCTGACATGCAAGGTTAGAATGGAAGGTTGAGATATAATCTTAGGTGGAATACTTATATTGTTTGAAGAGCCTGGACAAACACCCTCCAAAGCAGCACAGGAAATTGTATGAATTTGATAGAAATGTTTTTAAAAATATGGAATATTATAAAAAAGGATGGTTATAAAATGGTATCCTTCCATTATCAGACAGCTGATTTTTCCAGATAAAAAGCTGTGGGAACACAAAGTCTATCCCAAAAGTACAAGGTGAAAGCCCAGGACAGGACAAGGGGGTCACATACAAACACTTTTTAGGAGACACCAACTAACTGAGTCGATGCATATTTGGAAAAGCGGGAGCAAACTGGAGCAAAAAGAGAAAACACTTGTAAATACAGGGAAAACATGCAAACGCTGCAGAAAAGGGATTCCAGTGGGGAACAGAATCCAGTCTCAATGGCTGAGTTACCCCCAACTATAAATCCACTCTTTTATACACTAACCATAATAGACATCTTCTATCACCTCTTGGCATTACATACAAAACAATGATAGTCAGAAAAATCATCTGCATCTGATATCCAGTGGGTGATCTGAACACCAAAGAATGGTAGGTCTTTTTGCCTTAAAAATATGTTCTTATGGACAGATTTGCTTTTCCAAGCAGATGCAAACCAAATACCATTAATGTTTTCCATCCTTTGATCCTAACCAACAGGTACAAATAATTCTCTTGAATTTCTTATTTTTTTTAAATCTTTCTGCCTCATTAACTGAATTTGATACTTGAAACCATGATGTCAAGAGGATATATCGTATCTATCGAATGAAGCAACTCCTGTTATGTTTTGAAGATGCAAGGCAAAATGGTGAAATCAAAGAACACCACCTTCCCGTATAAAAACAATCACAACTCCACTCTTAACCACTCTTAACTCTTAATCATTCTATTTTAGCAGGCAGAGAAGGAGATGCAGCATATAAACCATGGACACACAGCAGAATGGACACTCAGCAAGCTCTCCGTTACCAGCAGGCAATTACCACCAGGCCATTACTCCCCATTCTGACTGCATGACTATTCCTAATCAATACCCCATAAAAAATGAGACGCTGTAACCTGGATGCAGAAACTGCTTACTTCGTGATACGTGTCCTCCAGCTCCCCGTCATAAATCCAGCGGTACAGGAAGTTCAGGATGGGGTGGGACACCAAACCAAGGATATGCTGGACTAGTGCTCTCATGTATGGGTCTCCGGTCTTGCCATAAGCATGGACAGCTGAGGCCAGCTCTCCCCCTTTCCTCCCTGAGAACAGAGGTTTAGAAGTACTCAAGTACATTTTGGAGAGGTGATCACTGTGGGCTAATAGAGCTTAGCCCCGCAAGTTCACCCAAGTTAGCATCAGTAATCAAACAAATGATTACCATGCATTTCTTAAAACAGAAGTTGCAGTAAGCCCCTTGCTTAAAAGCCCTAATGAATGTATGTCTGTCAAGTGGGCAGACACTGTATTTGCTAATCTGTGTCGCAATAGGAATAAAAAGGGTTCCAGTTTATCAGCATGTTTACACACTGTTATAAATACAGTTGGTCTTATTTGGAAGGGATGCAGCATGAACAAAATCGTAACGTCACCCGACAAGGTTAAAAGTGCCTTGCTCAGCATTATCAGGAATTGTGTTAAAGTAGAAACTGCAGGAAGAATTCATATAATCATTTAAAATGATAAAGGTTACAGCAGTTCAGTTCTCAGGCACAGCTAACTGACTTCATCAAGTTTTTGGGGGAAGTTGCGATCTATCACTTACAGATGAGACGAAAAGGGTGCACAATCAAAGAGGAATTAGATTAATGTTCAGGATTGCACATGGCTTAAACATGCAATGTATTGTGATTGGAAAAAGGTTTTTGTTGCTATTAAAACATTATTTGGAGACAAAGAGTACAACAATGGCAATAATGAAAACAATTAGGGCTACTAGTCACAAAAGGCATGCAAGATCAAATGAATAAATGACAAATGATCAAAATATAAAACAAAACACTTTCTAAGATAATTAAGTCAATTTCCTATAGGTTGATTTTTTGCCTTTTTGACCCTGTTGCTGCAGACTTTATTGGGGGTAACTGTATTCCTTTCTGAGAAGTGTTCCATTGTAGCTCCTAAAGTAGGGCTAAGTGTATGAATGTATGGACAAGGCTTGTGTTCTGAAGATAAAACCAGCAGTGGCAGCTTAACATCATCAGTGAAATGTTTCTTCTTGTTCGATGGTCTGTGGTGATGCTTGTGAAAACAGAAAATAGGAGCTAACACCCCAGTGCAATAAAACTACTGAAAGTAGTACTGCTCAGATACAGTATTCAACAATACATTAAAGAAATAAATATCAGCACAAACACGGATGTCCATGTTTTACTACATGAACACAAAACGATGGGTTTTGCCAAACATCGCTCATTTGCACAGAATGAGAGATCTTTAGAAATAGTTATAAATCAAGTTTATGTTCCTATAAAATGTGTGGGAAGACTAAATTAACTAGTCGGGGAAAATTGTTCCGACTTCTGTCTTTGTTAGATGTAAAAGATTTAACCTGGATTCCTTTTTCTGACTAAATGCTTGTAATTTGGTTGTTTATGGAGTATGAACCTACTTTCTCCTACATTTACTATGTAATATACCAAAACAGGTGGAGGATCCAGCAGCTAATGTAAAAGACTCATTATCGGAAGGTTCCTGGTTCAAGTCTTTGCTCTCATGTTAACTATATCACACTGCACAGCTTAAAGCAACTCATTTTACACTATCCCTGAGAGAACATTTTCCTTGGTAAATGACTCTGAAGAAGCAGCTGTATATACAGAATTCATCTCCAGATATCCATCTTACATTAGATTTCATCACCTCCATAGAAATTGCATTAATTATTGCACTAGTGAGCCCCTCAGGACTCCAGAATCGCCATGTGAACATGTACTTACCTTGACAGTAATCAACAAGAGCAGCAAGAGTTTTCAATCTGATCTTGGGGTCATAAGTCCACACAAGTAGGCGGCGGAGCGTCAAACTACTTTCAGCTCCCAAATTCACTCCCTGGTCATCCTCGAGTTGTAACTGAGAGCAAAACAGAAATGTATGTAATTCTAAAACATGAAGGCACGGAAGGAGTTGGGGAACAGAAATGAGCTCTCCGTTGTGAAAATTAAGGTGCAAATGAATTAAACAGAGACGTTGTGCCAATCTTTCTCCCAGAAGTAGTGATCATCTGAAGTTCCAGTTGTTGGACACTGGCTGTGTCCAGAACTTTAAATCATCACTTTTTGCAGATATTTATTACACATTTCAAAGTAAAACATAAAGGTGTATTTTACTGGCTTTTTATCTCATTTACCCTAGAAATCGATGACTGAATGAACGTTAAGGAGCTGTTTAAACTAAAAGTCGCTGGGGCAATAAAAATGATGCACCCATGATTTGATGATTTTTTACAAGTACATGAGGGGAAACACTTAAGGAAAACTGTGAGAACAAGTTTTCCACAGTGGAGATTAAATAGAGATGGGAGAATGATTACTGAAAAGTCAAAAGGCAGCCATGTCTTAACTACGTTTCAGAATGTTTGAGCATTTGCTTTTCACGAGAATGCCATGTGTTTCAATGTGTAAATAAAGTTAAAATAAATTCTCATTTAATTTGTCTAGATTTCAGGCTGTTAGGTCACAGAATGTGTACGTTTTGATAGCACGCAAACAAATCCCCCACTTAAGCGTACCTGGGAATGTAAGACAGAGAGAAGCCGGTAGTACTCCTTGAGCTCCTGATGAAGGGCAGCACAAAAACTCTGGAGCAAAGGAAATGAAATCAAGTAGGAATACATGACAAGCAGTTCCAATGTAATAGACCATGGTCACTAAAAACCACTCACTTAACTTTCTCCATCGTTAAAGACCTTGGAAAACCTACGGTGTTATCAATAACACAGTAATATTTACTGTTTTAGAACTAAGATGATATATTAATGGATTTTACACTTGATCTTTTGAGACCCCTACGTCTCCAGGTTTTTGGTCCAGCTTTTTTTTTTTAATTGCCTTTATTTTCTGGTTTTAGGCATATTTTTAAATTTGCTTTCAGCTCCCGAGTTGTACTTCAAAAAGTTGAAAGCTATTTGTAACCCCCATACAAATGTTTAGGTGTCAGTGTAAGCCTGGTACATAACTAACTGGACCTCTGAAGAGGGAGAAAGAAACACTGTGGATACAATGTCATTCCCCCTGTGTCTGTTCATACCTTTAATAAACAAGCTGCTAAAAGATTACATAAAGGCCTATGCTGGAAACAATCTGCCTTTAGTCAGTTTTCTAATGAAGTGCAGTACCAGACAACAAGAACAAGATCAATTAAAATCATCAGTTAGCACTAGTTGTTACCAGGTATTTGAACCAAAAAAACAGTCACTAGGGTCCAGGAACCACTGTCGTAAATTAACCTCACTCTTCGCTAAAGATGCCTTGCTTTATAACACCAAATACTTTGCCTGTAGCCAAATTAGTATTTTTTGTAATCAGAAGTTTAGGGTTTCAAATTCAAATATGCAAAAGAAGTAGTTGGAATTTAGAAATTTTGAAGATTCATCATAATAAGCAATACAAGGCATGATATAAACTGAAAGCAATTTAAATTAATAGAACTTAGAAGAATACTTCTTTCAAAGTATTTTCTACAGCTCTGATTAAAGCTTTATATTGCCACTGGTACTTGACATCATCTCAACACCAATTTTAACTGCTGAAACCGTTGTTATGCTGCTGAAAAACATAAAATCTGAGGACAAATTTACTATGTCTTTCTATACAAGTATCACCAATAGTTCACGGCAGTTAAAAAAACACTAGCAGTGACTCACGTGACCCTATTACAGTGGATTCACCTGAGTTCAGCAAATCAACTTCACTTTCCATTCACTACGTCTTATGCGTAAATCCATGCATCACTGATGTTGTCAGGTTTGCACAGCAGTGTTTAAAACTTAAAAATGATGTTGGGGTGGCATCGTACAAGGCAGGTATCATTAACTCAAGCAGGCCTTTAAAAATTAGTGTTAAACATGTAATTGTATGGTGCATTCGTCTGTAACTTGACATCTGCTTTTTTTCCCCCCTCAAGACTACCTGGCCAACGAGTCCAAATGCCCGGTCAAGGCTCCGCTGGTCAGTGTACTTTCGCACTTTGTTGTGCAACCACCCCAGCTCTGCCAGCCTGCTTGTGGTGTCACGGAGAGACTTCGAAATCGCAGTCTAGGGAAAAAATGTAAAATCATGGCAATGTATTGCATGAACGCATTAAACACATACACACGTCTTCCCCCCTCCAATCATTTCCTTAGTAGAAAAAAAAAGATGGTGTTTGCTATCAAATATGTTATTTTTTGGTCCATATATCCAGAAAATTTGTCCAAAAATTGTCAAAAATGACTTCCTATATCCTGATAGTTCATGAAAAAAGAAGACAGCTTTTTAAAACTATTTATTGCTAAAAGGAGTGTTTATCTGCAGGTTATTTAAATGTCTTGAAGAAAATTGGCTACATCAATAAAAAAAGAAACATAAAATCCTATTAAAATGAGATCTGAGAGGAGTCTCAGTCTTTACCCCCAAATCTATAAAGGAATTATGCCGTTCTTCAGCTCTCATTTCCCACAATACAGTACGCATGGACAATAAATTGCACTAAACAAGTTATTGAAAAGGGGGCACAATTTCTCAGTCTGTTTGCTACTGTAGTAAACCCACAATTGGTCTGATAATGGACTTTAAGTACACATACAAACCACAACACAGAAAAGCTATCAGACTGCAATGTTAGCAAGAGGCATCGCTATCAGGAAATGACAAAAGTACATAGGACCCACAATTTTACTTCACGGCATATTGTAACTGTCTGTTTTTCCTATAGTCACTCCATGACTTACAAACAGAATGTTTTTGGAGTCAAAAGGTTTGTAACTTAAAAACTGAATTTCTCCTGTGAGATTTAGTATAAAGAAGAAGCTTGGTTCCATTAAGGGAATTTTGTCAGCCTAATATCCCATATCATTAAATATACAGTATTAATGATACAAAATTCCAAATAATAACAGTAAATATATTAACTGGAATATACACCACATAATGTAGTGCGATAGTAATTATTTTAGTAACTTCATAATTCTGAGTTAGAGATACAAGTAAAACTATAGGTAGGCACGGTAACAGACAGATTATCTGCATTGTCAGGCTTGGTTGAACAAACTTCTTTTTCCTTCAAATTCCTGCCGATTGAGGTCTACCATACCCAGTTTATACTGAGAATTTGGCCTTGCTAAGACCCCATGATTACGTCTAATTTTGCTTCCAATATAAAAGTTTTATGTCTCTGGAATGTTACAGCATTTCTTCCACATCTAAAAGCGTCACTTTTATGTTTATCTGCCATTCGTGGGGTCGAGAAAAGCAAAAAAGTTTCCAAATCATGCACTGCATACAAAGATAAGTATACAATTAAATTGGTGGTGAACATCCGATCCCCTGTAGTCAAGTACCAACTAATAATAATTTGACTAAGGGATAAACATTTTAATTGGAACTCATTCAGAATTGCTTCTGTTCATGACCTAAATGTTAGTAACTATTAGAACTTACCACTAGCCTAATTCTAATATGCTTTTTAGGGAGTAATTACTGAATATTGGATCTTGTGCTTCAACACTCCACACATGCCTTAAACCCAGTGTGTATCTTAAGGATAATAGAGTAGGCTGACAGGTGCTAAAAAATAGTTTCTTCTAGCTAAGTAAAAGAATGCCTCATACAGTATGTCTGACTAATCACCATGGGCGACGGATGATGACAGAGACTTTGACAGTCCTTTTCAAGGTTGTGGAGAAATTTTCTGTCAAATTTCTCCAAAATGTAAAAAAACCCATCAGTTTATTCTCTGTTTTCCTTGGGAACACAAAATTCACCTTGCCAGAAACACCGTTTAAAGCAGAAAGAAAACAACAAACTGTGGAAATAAACCATACCCATATACGGTAAATTCAGGCTAGCAAGTGACAAGGTACATTTTTAATCATATTCATCTGATCTGCCACAAATTTGTCTAAGTGGTTACTGTGTACATTTTCTAAACATCCTGTTTAAATACATGCACTGTATATATATTTTTCAAGTGATTACTAAGACAGCTAAAAATAAGATGCTAAGTGTCAGATATATGGATTTATGATAAAAGACCATTTTCTAACTCCCAGTAATTGAAAACAGAACAGCTAAAAAGCTATCAATGTCAAGGCTGGCCTGAGCTTATTGATTGGTTGTTCTTTAAGACAGATCATCAACTTGGATTATGTCAGTTAGGATAAACATGCAAACATCAGGTGTCTGCACTTCCAGACACCTCTTTCAGTGTGTATCAAATACAAACAAGAGAATTCCAGGTAGGATTTGCCAATTCAAATCCTCCGCTACAGATGAGTCTACTTCCTTAAATTTAAGGGGTGACAGATTAATAACTACTGTAAAAGATCCATGAGTCTTTTGTGCCACAAGGTCCAAATTACTAGCCTGAAATTAAAATTTATATTAAAAAAACTGTTTATAAGTTTTGAAACTATTCCAATTAATTTTTTTCTTGAACCTTCCAAAGATTTAAAAGGGCACATTCCTTAGAACACAACCAAATTAAAAAATAAAACCACTTGGAAGTCTTTTTAGGAGAACTTCACTGCACATTAAAATGATTGGAAAAATGTTTCAAACTAGGCTGATAAAGAAAGTCATTAAACAAATCTGGCCGCAAAATTACATTTTCAGAAATTAATACAGCTTTATTTGAATTTGAGCACTTCATCTTCGAACCATTGAAAACATCTAGTATTTTATAATTACCTCTTTCATTTGAAAATGAGACCTTGAATTAAAAAAAATAGACATTTCCTTTAATACCCTTAAATTGTGAAATATCGAGAATTGCTTTCACAAAATATTTACCTTGGCATCAATTTTATAGCAATTTTCAGAACTGCACATTTTGATGAACTTGCCATCTATCCCCTGAAAGACATACAATATGTCTCTGACAAGGGCAGCTTCGCTGATTTCAACGGTGCCTGAAAAACAGAAAAGTGGTTTGTTTGTGATATTAAAATGAAGAATCATGAAAAGCCAGTGATGTCTTTCAACACAAGAATCTTTAGATTTGGTCAAAACAATAGAATTATGATGGCTCTGATGTAATCTTTACATTAATAACAAATATGCCTAGTGTCAGGCTGAACAAAGATCCAATATTAAAAATAAAATCGACACAATTAGATTTAACAAACTCTTGAACCATACAAGAGGGGCAGATTCATTTTAATAGATTTCTAAACGACCCTCTGCCTGTGTCCTCAGATCAAGAGAGATTAACAATCCAGTTGAGAAATGACTAATGTGTGTATAAAAACCTAAGTTTAGTTCAATATTACCACCACCTTTGCAAATCCTTATTAAAAATGCATACATCTACTTATATCCAAAACCTTTTGTTTCCAATGTGAAAAACATGCACTGTGTGACTCATGCCATGTGTTCACATACTGTAGCAGCGTTGGTATAGTGGGTACCAGCCGGCTGAGGCAATCAGATTTACTCAAATGCCCTGGGAAGTGGTAGAAGAGGGCACAAGCAGGCACACACTCTGGATAAGAGTAGGGCTGGACAAGGCAGGAGAAATCTCACTACGTCAGTGAGCGACTGAAAAACAGCTGGGTCGAGTTCTACCACAGTACCCAGCATCTAGAGTACTTTCTTGAATTGTTCCAATGTTCTGAATAATTATGCCATTATGTGCAATGAAACCAAATAAGGGGCTATTAAAACAACCTGCGAAGTGAGATTTGCCGTGTGCTCTACCAGGACAGCGTTCAAACATTTTTGCTCCACGTCTTCGGACCACAAGAACTAGTGTTCCAAAAAGGTGCTTCATGAGAAAAAGAAACCCGTATCTCTCTCTAGCATACACTTCCTCCGTCATCTCGTTTCCAGGCCCCAGCGCTGGGCCGCAGCTTCGGGCTTCGGAGCCTCCACATGACGAATGGGGGAAAGGAAGCACGGCAATTGACGTACCGCTGATGTCCCCTTCCCGGCGAGGTCTGGGAGCGCTGCGGCCCACCGAGTTCGGGGGGCCTCGTGAGGTAGCTGCTGAGAACGAGGGGAGGTTCCAGGCCAGCCGAGAGCCCAGCTGCTGACGGAGAGAGTCCCCCACTACATGGGACTGGTGCCTGAAAGCAATCAGACAGCGGGGAGAATACAAATAATATTCATAATCCAAACACTTACAGTGGTGCTAGAAGGTTCGCGAACCCCTTAGAATTGCCTGAATTTCTGCATAAATTTGACCTAAAATATGATCAGATCTTCATCTAAGTAATTCAAATAAAGAGAACCCAATAAAACAAACAACACACAAAAGGATATAACTTTTCACTCATTTATTGATCAAAATGATCCAACATGAAACGTCAGTTTTACCTCTCATCTGAAGGACAGCGCCTTTATGCAGTATAGTGTCCCCATTACTATACTGGAGCATTAGGACCCTCACAGACCACAAGGTGAGCGCCCCCTACTGGCCTCACTAACACCTCGTATAGCGACAACCTTAGTTTTTCCCAGGTCTCCCATCCAAGTACTGACCAGGCTCACACCTGCTGAGCTTAAGTGGGCTCCCAGTTGAGTTGCAGACCATAAGACCAATTTGCATATGTAATCATTTTAATTCATTTCCTAGTGGCAAATTTCTGCAAACTAGGTGAGATGTGGTTGCTGTTGCAGGTTGGGATGACTACCATGATAACTACCCAAGCACATATTTAAAAAACAATCCCGTATTCGATGCGGCAGAGAAGCAAAATGCAAAAGCAGCAATGAAACAACAAGATAACAGAGCCGACAAAACCTCTAACATCCAAGGTGAAGCAGAGCCACTGTTTGCTCACATCGTACAATAGAACAGAGTTTTCAAAGTCATTGCGAATGTTTAAATTCTGCCATTCAGAGTACCACTCAAGTCTGTTGGGTCATCAAGAACGTAAAAGCCTGATTAAAATTTAAGGCAAAGTTTATGGAACCGGCTTTTTCCTAATTGCTGCTCAGTGGTAGAAATGACAGCTTTAAATGCCACTAAATGACACCAGAGTGCTTCTTTAAAGCTTAATGATGCTTCAAATCCTAACAACCAATAATTAACAACCCACATGCTAATTCTAGATTGCAGCGTCAAACAGAAACAGCAATACATTTCTCCATGTAAAAACAATACTTAAGTACTTATAGCTGATGGAAGCCCATTCATTTTTAATTAGCCAGAATGAAATCAACATCACTGCACACAGCAGCAAAAATGGACCCGACACACAAAACACTGTCATAGTATGTTAAATGTTTTTATAGAATATAAGTCATTTCCCCTTTTTTAATCTAATGATAATTGTTAGGACAAGAGTCCAAACGTGAATGGAAAAGTAAATGCTGCTTTCCCATCACAAAATAAAAGACATGAAAAATCTTCACAATTTCTGAATATATGTTTATCACACCAGGACAATAGGATTAACACACCTACTCTTTTCGAGAAATGCCCTGGGATTTTTAAAGTTAAGTGTCCCCATCTCTACAGGGACATTAGGACCCACACAGACTGCAGGGTGGGCGCCCCCTACTGGTCCCACTACCACTATTAGTTACATGTTATTAAAATCTTGCCATTAAGACAAGGTATTCACCTGCTATGTAGGAGCCCCTATCACAGGCAGATAAGACCAGAGCACAGACCTGAACCAGCAATCTATTGACATTACAGCATTATTTCAGCTGGAAACCTCCTCTCATTGCGTTTACTTTCAGCTCATTCTACGTGGTGAACTCACCCCTGGAGCAGTGACTGGGGGGTTGGCGTCGGCCCGTTCACAGCATAAACCCCCAGGCTGCTGACGCCACTGCTGCCCATGCTGCCTGAGCTCTGGGCCGTCTGGGTCCTGTCAGGGTAGCCGAGCGGCAGGCTCTGAGGCCTGGCACAGTAGTAGGGTGTGGAGTGGGCATCTCTTGGCAACGCCTGAGCGAAGAGCGCTGTATAATTCGCAACCTGAAAAGAAAACAAAATGGTCAGATTTTAACAGGTAAATAATACTGGAGCTCTTGAAAGTGAAGCCCTCTCAAATATCCAGACTGATGATCTCAATCAGTTCCATCCGCAGCTACCCACCTGAACTGCTTCAGTCTACTTCTGCTGCGACCCACTATGCCTTCCTCTAAATCTTTTTCTAGATCTCTTCAGCGTTCCTTCTCTTCCTCCCTGGGCTACTTGCCCCTCTCTCTCACTAAACCAGCATTCCGTCTCTTCACAGCGACCTGTTCCAAGACCAAGCTCTCACCACCCGCTATTCCTTTACAGATGTCGTCGCTATACTAGTAGGTGTGCCTCACAGCTACTCTAAGGACCCCAGCAAAAGGAAAGCTTTTGTTATTGGACTGTTATGGTATTATCATTGCCAACACTATCTGATCTTTTACTAGGAATGATAAATTAAAGGCTCTGAAACTGACGCCTGTCAGTTTGTCTGCGAACACAAATGCCAAAGTATCTTTGCCGCCCTTCTGGAGGAAATGGAAATGTACAGGAAGTTACAATATCAACACTACTGACTTAGACAAGTTTTCAACATAACTTAATTACACCACAAATTCACACTCTGTCTGCATTCTTTAAACTGATCTGATTGCTGTTCATAGACCAAAATACTGATTCTGTGTCATGGTGCTCTGGAAAGAGTTTTGTATGATAGTTTCCACAAAAGTCAACAGGCAAAAGTAATTCCAAAATAAAATGAAATAATCCTAGATAGTGATAGTGATCAATATGTTCCTGATTTACACTGCTGGATTCAGGTAGAGTACAGAAAACCAACTACATTAACAAATTAGTTTAGACCATGTAACATATTTATTGTTCAGTGTCACCTGACACTTTACTTATGCTGCGAATACTTGAAATAATGCAAACATCTGCCTTACAGTCACTTCTGGACTAAAAACAGCAGCACATTATACTATTTATACACATCTGCCTCTTCTGTGTAATTTCTGACAGAGAACATGAAACTATACATACATTTAACAGAAATGTTTGCATGCAATGTTGCTTTTAGCCACTACCCTGCTGCCACCGGTATTACTTTTCAGTTTAGGGTGTGCATTTTGCCTTGTAAATAAAAAGATGCAGACATGGAAAAATGAAACTTACATTCCAAGTACAAAGTAATGACAAAAACAGATTTGATTTCATTACCCTGCTAGGTGGTTTACGAGGATCCTCACAAAGGCTGAGCAGGAGGTACAGTATGGACCATCTATTCTTCAGCACACCCTGTGTAGAAAACGACAGGTCTGATATTATCCAAGAAATACAGTTTTATTTTGATGTATAGTATCAAGCTATGCTACTGGATGCAAACCAGCGATTACATACCACGCATCTCAATGGCTGTGTTTCTATGCATCTAATAAATTCCACTTTTTATCGCCACTCTCAAGAGGATATCCTGCGTCTTGCACCAATGTAAATTCTTTTAGAAATGTATATTCTTCATGTCACAGGAAATATGCAAATGACCTACGCTCTCTAAAAAACAGAAACGGCGATGTCCTTCATCTCATATTTGTCACATAATGTCCTTACTAGGTTTTTCAGTTCAGAACTTTCTCACCATTACTGGGAAGTAAACAGCCCTTTTTTTTAAATAAGAAAGGATACTGAACTTTATTATGCATTACAACAGCAATTATTATTGCTATTTACTAGGGGGAAATAAGAATGACTCTAAATTATAGACTTTTACTGTTACAACTCAGCTACTGCTACAGTTACAACAACAATATTTAATGTTTAATTAAAAGTTTGAACTACATCACTTCTTGCACTACATACAGTTTGTTTATCCTCTGGATGTGGGAGGCAAACCTTTCCCTTTTCCACATTTATCAGAGAACTGAAATTCCAATTTACCCTGTTTATGTAAGCTGAACACTATTAGTTATGGTGGTAGCCTGAAACGGAATATTACCAAGAAATTATATTCAATTACATATTTTAGTAATGGATTTTGCATTCTGCTGAAATAGCATTTTTGCAAAAGATCCAATTTCATATACTACATTTTGCAGATGTGACCAAAACAGTACAGGAAATAAGCTTAACTTTCCTTCTTGTTAGATGCACTATAATACCAAGCAACTGCTTCCTATAAAACTAAACAGTCATTCAGTTCAATTCCAAAATAAAGTTAAGAGTTGTGCAGCAGCAAAGAATTTCAATATATTGTACAAACCTACAGAGTTTATACAAGAGTTTTACCTTTTCAAATAATTCTGTAAATATTTAACATTTTTCAAGCACTTGCATGATTAACTTAATGCCTCAAATCTATTCTGCTACAAAAGCAATACCACCAATACTGGAATAGAAGAGAGCATTCAAACTGAAAGGTAATATAACCTTATCTTTTCTGCGTTTCATGTATTATCGTTTTGTTTTCAATACGTTTCTCAAAAAACAAACCTGTGACTGAAGTTTCCTGTGAAGCTCAGAAAAAAGTGCTGCATCTGCTTCTCTTCTTTGCTTCACAACTGCAGAAATAAAGTGCCTGTTAAATCATGATAAACACCACAATCACATTAAATATTAAAATGACACTATGTGACATGAATATGGCGTAATCTCCCAAATGTAATTGTTTTTTCTTCCCAGAGATAAACATTTGTCATTAAGAAAACAATAAAAACCTTTCAGCCCAGAGAAGTGTTGTTTAATTAAGATATAGATGATCACAATATAAATTGAGGTTTTATGGAACCGTATAAATGGAAATCTTAAGGGATACTGTTTCTGACACATACAGAAATCAAGTTTTCAGAACTTATAACTAGATGCACGAACTAAAAAAACTAAAAAATTACATACAGCATACTATTAAGGGCTTAATATTAATACTGCAATATTAATTAACACTTCTGAAAAAACATGCAACATCAAAAGGTTTTATTTTAAACAAACTCACGTTCCTTCTTGATCTTTTCACCTACAAGAAACTCATCCCGTTCAATTGTAGGAGCATAATTACTTCCAATGACTCGCACAGCATACTGGAACTGGTGGGCAACATCGGCTGAAAAAAGCAGAAGATAATTTTAATGACAATAACTACAATCCAACAGATCCTGAGATTACAGGCCACCACAGCAAACTGAGATATCACACAGGTGGATAATGTCACAGAGATTTTCAGGCCTTAAAGAAAAGAAAATTCTTAAGCTCTTAAACTCAGCTTTCAACCTCAACATCCCGCCATAAGAAGGAACCAAATTGTGTGTGCTTTGTGACAACAAGACTGTGACTCCCAGCAAATCTGAATCATGAACAAGTGGGTCTCTGCTGTGATGCCATCATGTAAGTATAAAGACACTAAAAATGGAGAACGTCACTGAGCCCTACAGACAAAGGGGACCAGAGAAGAATGAGGACAACAAGCAGCCAAATGTGTCAGATTTAGGCCAGTGTAAATCACAATGCACCATATTCCTCTTTCACCACATGAATAAAGACCTTGGTGTTACAGCTGAAGAACTTCCTTTACGACAGTCTGCCAAGAATACAAAGAATCAAAAATCAGCAAAGGCCTTCATGAGGAATAATACCTTCTTTGGCAGCCAGTGAGACTGTTCTAAATGCAGTCTATTCATTCTTCCCTAAAACACCTGAAGTTACAATGTATTAAAAAGTACATGAATAAAGGGTCCTGCAATTTCAGTTAGAAACGACAACTCTTCACAGTTACAGCTTCAGGCACATTCTGGATTTTGGTATACAAGAATCAGTTGCTTTTTAAGACTAAAGATAAATACAAAAAAATCCTTCCTATGTTATTTAAACGTGAACTGTCTTCACCCCCATCTGTTCACCTTCAGTTGCAGGGAGTCCAGATAAACCACTAAGATTCCCCACTGAGAGGCTGGGTAGGGAATGAGAACGCTTGAAGCCATGAACTTCCCCCCTTGACCTCGGCCAATTTCCAGATCACAAACTCCCTTAAAGCTCACAAACAGTAGAATTTACCAACCTATTAAGGTCCGTGCTCATACTTTTAGTTTTGGATCTGACAAAAATTCTGGGATCATATTGTGCCAATTAAGATGCAGCTCATAATATCCGATTTCGGTTATAAAGCGCTATTAAAGGCAGTATAGAAGATAAATAGTACACTGGCACAGGAGATTACAAAACTATACGTTTGTGAACTGGAGTCTTTCAAATAAAAGCACTTCTTCATCACATTACAATAGCAGCTCAAGGACAGAGGACTTTTTTTGCTTCTTTGCCAAAGAAATATATCCCTACTTTCTTCCATCTTTATCGACCTACCAATCATGTCATAATTTCATCAGGGCCAATTCTCCAGCCAGTACATTCACTACAAATAGAAATGGTAAATGAGTCTTCCCCCAACTAGCAAGATAAAAAAACTCGCCTGCTGCCGGCCATCGTGAATTAAAACCGCGTAATTATTATAGTTGTTTTTATCAAATAAAATGTGTCTAACGATACCAGACATCTGCTCAAGAGATGAACACTGGCCTGTTCTGCAGATTTCAACAGTCAGAGAAAGAGGGGACTGTTAGCGAGGAAAGGCGCTTTATTCACTACTCCGTCAAAAAAAAACTCCTGCTTCCAACGTGGAAAGACGATCATTTAGGCGTCGCCTTATTGATTTGTTTTCTGCCAATATGCTTACTGTAAAAACATCTACTGACTCATTCTCTGTGCTCATGCAGTATGATGTTGAACTATGATGGAACAAGCACGTTACTTAAAATATTCCCCTTGCCGCTGTTACCTTCGCTCTTCCCAGTTATCCTGCAACAGAGACTTTGTAGCAAGACGTTGGGCGATTTTTGATCCAAGCCTGCCATATCAGGGATCTGTCTGACACGGCTCCGGGTCGCTGTCCAAATCTACCTGCAGCCGTTATTTTTGCCGTGGCTTTCCGCTCTTAGCAACGGCGCCATTTTCGCTAAACCCGCCGACAGCGCTCTTCACTGTGTTATCTATGGAGGTGTCCCATAATCCTCCGAAAGGCAAGGGAGAATCGAACAAAAATACTGCCCTCCGAAGAACGAGAAACGCAAGAGAGGTTCCTAGCATGACATCAGTTCCTACCTTTTCTGTTTTAGGCGTGGGTTGGGGTTTATCACTTAAGAAAACGAAGATAATTCAATTTACACGACTGCACTTGCCTTGCACGATCGTTCTTTTCTTCGACACGTCAAATATCGTTTGGGGGAGTTTTGAAAGGTGAAGATTGTAGATGAAAAGCGTTTATATGGTCTTTAAGAACATTTTGTTCACAAACGTGTCGCACCTGATGAAAACTGGTTATATTCCTAATCTGGCAAAAAGGTCTGAAATACAATAGATCCCATAAACTGCATTTATCTTCTTTATTTCCACTAGTGTTTTTGCTGTTTGCAATTAAAATAATAATATCATCAAATTTAATATATAATCTGCATATTATCAATATTCTGAATTAGAATTGACGTCTTAACGACCTGTTCTTGTATATTACTTATTGTACCTGTGTGATAAATATAAATCAATCTTATTTTGATTATTTGATTTCAATATTAGTTGTATGTATTAATAAGGAACAGAACGTAGAATGCAACATATAAACATACAAAGTATATAGAAAGTGTTATTTCTGCATTCAGTTGTTAATATTTTATTACGAATGAGTAGTGTTTGTGGAATATTTGTAATAAAAGATTAAAAAACAGCAATGTAACAAAATTCAATGATTTCCATTTTTTTAAAGAAAATCGTATGCTAGCTGTCAGGCAAGTAAGCAATCAAGTCAAAATTTATTACAAAAAACGAATTAATCCCAATAACAACGATATAATACTTTTGTTCTCTTGCTAGCTTCGGTTGCTTTCCACAGGGCGCAGAATAAATGAAAACTCTTGAAGACGTTTTAAGAGTTACTCCAGCATGTAAAGGATAAATATGGAATATAAAGTAGTCTTTAAAAAAAATAACGTTATCTCTGCTGACAATTGTTTCCTTTGCTGCGTTAATTTTAACAGGAGACAAGGTCCATTAATAACATATCAGGAAAAAGGTATTGATGTATTGATGATTACACTGTTCAGCAAGTGGTCCTCCATTAAGGATATGTTATAAGTTTGATCCATGGACGAGCTTCAGCCTGATTAAGTATTTATTTTTACACTCTTACGTTTGATTCGGCTGCCTCATTGTCACATGGTGTTAGATACACATCTCAGTTTAGAATGCCAAAGACGTATGTCCATGCCCTTGTTTGCGTTCAGCAACAAAGTGTGGAAGATGAGTTGGTAACCGATATGGTTTGGATGCGGCTCTTGAGTTATTTCTAAGTGGTTAACAATCGCTGAATTTGATTACATATCCTATACATACCCCACCCCCCAAGCCATATTCAAACCCTTCTGTTGTCTTACATGAGCAAGAACACTATGCAGACTTTACTGATACAACCTGGTGCTGTCGATTAGTATAATTTTACATCTTTCTTGGATTTATTGCATTTTCGTGCACCTCTTCAAAAACCTCAGATGGTGTCAGCTTTGGTATTAACAACACCCTGGATTTTGCTTTCTTTGTGATTATTTTGGTTTCGGGGCAGATCTTTTCCAGACAAGAATGCACTAACTTCAAGTTGTAGGATATTTTGTTTGTGTCCAGGACATGCACTTGGTACTGTACGTGTATGAATGAATCATTGCACAGCTGATTGATGAGTATTCTCTTCTGAACACTTAACAATAAATTGTTCAACATAATGGTAACAACTACAGCATATTTATTAAAAACAGGGGTACTTGTTTTGAAGTGCTTTTTTGTGCAGCTGAAATATATTTGAGTCACTTTATACTATTACAATTACAGGAATGCAATACTGAAAACGCTCAAAACATGAATGGATCACCACAAATATATTTAATTTAATAAACTGTGCATTTTTGCATAATACTTTACTAAGTGTCCCATTCACTCTGCTTTAGGTCTCATACAAAATTCAAAGTTGCTGCAACTTTATAAAACTTTATAAAAGTCTCTATAAAACAGACTTTGGCGGATTGGAATTAATCGCTATTACTACTACTGCTCCTACATGTTCATTTATCATGTTTACTGGGAGTAGAATGTATGTATTAAAACTTTGAATATGTTTTTTTTTCATCTGGCACTGACCACACTTTATGGTCATAACGCTTGATTCTTGGAAGCTGTATGAAGCCAAAAGATGAAAAGACGTGTTTACTGTGATATCTTTGCGTCTAGTCCGCTTTTACCTAAAACCTCGCTGAAATTCAATAACCACTGAATGATATCACTGTGCTGTAAGAAAAAAAAATCTATGTGAAAATCTTTATACTACCGGCAACTAACTAAGCACCCACCGGCCGATGGAGCTACGCGTGAGCTTTTTTCAATCAATGCTGGTGCACACCGCTTTGCTCCGACACGAGTGGGTGTGACAACGGAGTGCGCAAGCGCCCACGCCCCCCGTGACGTCCGCTGAAAGAAAAGCTCACCAGAGCTGGAGCGAGGCAGGATTATAGGTACGGCGAAGGTGAGAAAGAAGGGAAGAAATAAAACAGAAGGAGGAGGAGGAGGAAAAAAAAGAGAAGGGAAGGCAGATCGTCAAGGAGGGAAAGCGGGACCACGGGACTAACAGAAAAGAGAGACATCGTCAAGGGGGAACAAAAAACCAAGCAAAAAATAAACTGCGGTTTGAATTCTTGTCGCAGTACAAAGACATTATGTGCAAATGAAGGAGCCCCGAAAACTACGAACACGCTTCTTGCTGCTGCTGACTAACGTGCTCGGGATCCGTAGGTGAGAAGGAGCAGAACTGCGGTCGTCGGACGCTGCTGTCAGTCCACACTTACCTACTGTAGAGTCAGGTGTCCGGCAGTCGCGGCATGGATCTTAGGAGAGGAAGGAAAATTAGCTAGCGGTTTCGGCGTTTGACGGCAAGGGGAGTGAATATCCAAAAGAACAATTGGAAGCTGTCGGGAGGAATGGATTGCAGCGTTCTCCGGAGCCTCATAAATAGATACGTAAGTAAAAGCGCACCGACGTGTTGCTGCCGTGACATCAAGTCGCTCGTTTTATTGTAACTTGTTGGTTCGGCTCGCGTGTTAACTCGCCGTCCCCGCGGGGGGATGCAGACGTATCTCGTTCAGGTTTACGGGAAATGGTGAAGATGCCACTCTGACCCGTTCACGGAGCAGGAGGGGAAGGCAGGGGGCATTTTCAGTGCAGCATGGCGTTGGTGGAGTAGGTGTGCGTGCGTTGAGGTGTGCTGCCACTTGTTATAGCAGAATGGAGAAGTCTGCCGGGATTTAATCCGGCGCCCCCCCCGGATAAATCGGGCAGCAGCGGTAATATTTGTCACTTTGTCAAAATTAGAGTAGCACAGGAAACCCGAATGCTGAGGGATATACGATATGAACCACCTGCTTTGCAGAATGATTTTGTGTGAAGCTTAGCTACCTGAGAAACCCCAGGCAGACCGGATCACTTAACTCAGATAGTTGTCACTTTTCAGCTTTCCGGCTGCTAATTTAAAGGGCAGATCGATAACACTGTGTCTATGTGTACATCCTACCTGGGGTGTCACGTACCCTCCCCTACGCCTTTATCAAGACTTAGTTTTGGACACCCTGTCAAGAATTTAACCCGCTAACAGTGCGGGTTGTGAGTTACCTGCTGCGATATGGCTGTACCTCACCAGTGACGATAAACACGTTGGCTGACGAAGAAAACGTAGTTATTAATTTCTTCGCTGCACATGCAATTATATGTATACGCAATAAGAGACTGAGCCACGAACCGTTGCTGAATTATACGGCCTGCATTGGCTTCTTTAATAAGCTAATTATACAAGGGAACGAGTTGTGATATGATAAATAATATGTTGGAAAACCAAAACAAACCAAAATAAGGAACCTGTCGTTTTATTCAAATAAATCTTGCCAAGAAAATGCACAGTACTGTTCGCCTTTATTTCTATCAAAATGTCAAAGCACTGGAAGGCACGGATACCGGTGGGGATTTGAAGTCCGCAATTCTTCCGCTGTGCGCAATGCCACATTCCTCAAGTTTTAGATAACTTTAAACTTTAACTTTGTGATGTAGTTTCTGGTGCGGTCCTCGTGGCAAAATCAAAGCAAGATTTATTTCACCTGCGAGAGTTTGCAAGAACATTATTCCTTTAACTTCAGATCAGACGTTTAATTATCTTATCAAGTTGGCAAGTTGCGTCAAAAGAGATCCCACAATACTGACTTTTTCTGAAAACTATGTATCGTACTAACAGTAATATAATATAATTGAAAGGGAAAATAAATGTGACTTTCTAGAAGACATGTACATGCTGGATTATAGCAAAGACATCTTAATTAAAAACGGAATTATGATTTATGCAATTTTGATATGCAGAGCAAACCGTTAAATCCTGTAAACCAAGCACCCACTAACAACAAGCTTATGACAATGCTATAATTGATATAAATGCTTTTATAATGTTTAAAAAATTAATATAATCCTCCAGCATTACATAATTCATCCTCTTTATTCTTTGATCGATATGAAAAGAGTGTCCTTGACCGTTTTAAAGCATTATAGACGTTTTGCTTTTAAGCCATTTATGCTGCTGCTACATAGGCGAAAACTGGAAATGAGGTTTTAAGGTCAAAATTAAAATGGCCAAATGATTGGATCAGTGTAGGTGTTATTTATATCTTAATCCGTTGCAGTGTAGAAAGCGGCTGCGTTAAGTTTCTAATTTGTGTTTCTTTTGAAACCTGTTACTGTGCTCCGTTTAGGAATATTGTAAACAAAAGAATAAAAAAGTAGTTCCCCCTAGATTTTGTAAATCTAAAACGTGGTTGGACCGAACCCCACGTGAGTTTATGCAATATGCTGTAGTTTCATGCTCCATTTAGATTACCTAACGGTTCAATAACTGATTTGTGGCCCCTTGACACATTCACGTCACACAGAAGGGGGACAATCGGCACTCGCTTTTCTCCTCTTCTTGTCGGCTCCAGATCTGCAAGGCTAACAAGTAAGATTCCCCCCCCCGTTATGCTCCTTTCATTTCAGTTCACTAAGAGAAAAAATAAACGCCCTCCATGGAATTCTCGTTTTCCCACGTTTTTAGTTTATTTGTCCAAATCGAACAATACACTTGCAACACTCACATAAATATAAATAGATGCCATGCTGAATCCCCGCTTTCTAAAAATTGCCTGTCAGGAATGATATGTGGGTGTGAAAAGGTGAGGAAGAGTGCTTCCATGTAGGTACGCCATCATTATATTTAACCTATAGGTCTAAATAAAATCTTTAAAGGCTTGACAGTGTCAGACAATCTAAAGACCTATGCAGCAGTTTTTTTGCTGGGAAATCCTTTACATTGCATGTTTCCACATGTTTTGTTGTTGGCACAATTGAACACTGTAGCTGGTGGATCAGCACAGAGACTACATGCACCTTAAGGTGATTGTAGTGGTAGACCAAGATAGCTGGGACAGTTTGCAAACCTTTGGTTATGACCCAAAATGCATTCGTTTCAGAATCTGGGATCTGTGTTTGTTTCTCAACATGTGCCTTTGGGCAGTTTTAAAAATCCAGTTTCTGGTACCAATCTGGAATGTTTTGGAAATAGTATATGTGAAGTACAAAGGTTTTGCTTTCATTACTAAAGCAGCCATGCCCTTTAGTGATTTGTGCTATACATTGTATTTCATGGATTATTTGATATTCACAGAATTAGATGTGGTGTTGTCTGGAATGATATACTGAAACTTTTCAGAAGTAAAGGTAATAACCGGAAAAGGTTAATCCACATGGAAAAAATACAAAAAATCAATTTTATGTAATATTAGTGCAGTGAAAGGGCATCAGAACGTAGTTGGATATCCGTAGTTGAATATCCATCCTGGTACTAAATTTTAGTTTTTCATTATTTTAACTATTTTTGTAAAGTATGTAAATTTACATTATAAATATAAACACACTTCTAAAGGAGGTTTGCTACTTTTGTTTTCAGTCCTGCACAACATTTGCTTTATAACTGTAAATTGATACAACCACGGTACTTGTATATGTCCCCAAAAAGAAGCACTTTTTCTAATCCAGTTCATTCAATCTCATTAGATTAGGGAATATCTAATTAACATTTCCTCTAATTTGATTTTTCATGCTTTGGAAGAATGAAATTGATTATGAAGGCAGTTCTTAACCAGAATTACCAGAAATGTCCCTGTCTGCCTGTATATGCACACAGCCATTTATTTTCTTTAAAATAAATTATCTTGAATAATCAGTTTGCTGGTGTTGATGTCAGGGCTTTACTACTTAATATTTAATGGACGTCCTTTTCCTGTTTCCTTGAGGGCTAAATATTAATTTAATAGTTATAGTACTCATTTCAGTGCTTTATGATTGTGTCAGTACTTACAGGAATTGAAATTGTGAATGTGTTGGTTGTTTAATTGGAAAATCCGGAAAATCCGGAAAATTTTAAGCAGCGTTAAAACTTGCAACATCAACAAGCTAAAGAATATTTTACAGAATCATATTTTTTAACCTCTGTGTATATAGTTTTCTTTAATGTACTTAATGTCTGTAGCCGCTGTAACCTACAGATAAATACTTTGGCAATGTGTGATGCTAATCAAAATGGCTTGTAAGAGGTTTTGTGAGACTTTGTCAGCATCGTCAGGTAGTCCCACATTTTGACACACAATGTGGACTTGCACCATTTTAATGAGGACCAATGGTGTAATATGTTATTGGCAAGTAAAAGGCCCTGGAACTTTTCACATGCCATTCTTTGCCTGTGTACAATGACAGATGCCCTCCCCTGATTAACTGTCAGGAGAAGTCTCTGTCACTGTGGAGGGAGAGCAGTATGACAGACCCGTTGCATACCAGCCAATGAAGTCTGCTGTGAGAGAGTGAAATCGCCATGGCAACTGCAGTAGATATGTGTTCATTCATTTTCACATCGCAGTGATCACTGTGGACCAAAATATATACAGTGTACATGAATAACTATGTATGATAGGGCTAGTAGGTGAGTATTTCAGTGTACCCTATCAGTATATTTAAAATCACCAGTACACAAATGCTTGGTGATCTTTTGTTTAAAAAAAATCTGCTTTGGTATTGTACTAAATTAAATGATGCAGTTGTGTTGTAAAATTATTTCATTTTTTATGTTTTGGTACATAATGTTTCGTGCATCTTAACTAAATACACACGTAATGTGTAGTAGTGCGTAATGAGCTGTAGTTTTCAGTAGAAGGGCATTAAAATACTGCTGGGTATTTTTCATGTAGACTAATTGCAGAGCATGTAGACCCCTGTGCTTGGTATTGCTTATCATTTCACTATGGGCTCTAAATGCAAGCTGGATTTCTGTGATGAAAATTCTGATTTGTCGGTGTTAACAGTCTGGACTCATTATCAGGGAGTTTAATCAGCAGTCTAATTGGATCTTAAAAGATACAATCTTCAAGGCTGGTTTGTTTTTTCTGGTAGCATAGCCCATTCATTTCAGCTCTCAAACACAACATGAGTCCTTTTCCTTTCTGATCTTTTTGGGTTGCTGCATTTTAAGTTTAGAGGCCAGTCATTTTCTTTTTTTTTTTTTGCTCCAAATTGTTGCACTGGGGGACAGTGTTGAAAGATAAACAGATAAGCTTCCTGGCAATGCTGGCAATTTTTTCATCCTGTATCAAGAAGCTCTAGTTCTCCTAGTCATGAATCAGCTTGGTCATGATCCACCTTAGTGTTTTTTTCCTTAAATTTGAATTGAAACTGAACTGAAATTAAAAATGTTCAGTTACTAAATCTCCCATATATCTTTAAGGTTAACATTTTAGGGAATAAGAAAGCTAAGATTACAAAAGTAAAATGTATTTTACATTGTACAGCATAAAAAAGTAAAATGTATTTTACATTGTACAGCACCATTATGAAAAGGCTATAGGATCAATGGGAAATACCTTTAATACTGTACTATTATTCTTTATGTAATTTTAGT